ATATATATATCGTCATATGCCTTGCACGGCGGAGTGGAGTTAATTTGGGCACTTGATCACCGTTCTTGCATCCCTAATTATGTTGCAGGCACTGGCGGCTAAAACATAAAGCATGGAGTTTCAGTCATTAACGAACGTCGAATTATTGCAGATGGGCTTACTTTTAACAATTCATTGGAGAAAACCATTAGCGTTGTCTTCAACGAATGGGGCCGGTAAGGTGTGTTTAAATATGTGGCTATGACGGTGCAAACCCCTAAATAGCAAGCGCGGAGTAAAAAGCAGGATATGTAGGATGATAATCGGATCCTAGGTGTGCTTCACGCGTTTACTCCGCCAACCGGTACATATCGAGTTGCTAGCCACGGGACAACGGGATTTCGCGATGTCTCGTGACGGTCGTGTGGCTGAAGTGCCAACCTTGTTTCCCATTTTCTTCATGTTTATGGAGAAGTTGCATTGGCCGAATCGCTGTCTAATTGTATCGACAAGGCACTTTTTTGGGGCCCACCCACAATCCAATAAGCTAGGATGGACCGTCGCCAGCACCCCAAAATCATAAACAACAATTTGGCTAAAAACCATGTTTGCCCTTATATCTTTGCTTGGTTGCCATAATAACATGCCAACTCACATGAAGGATGAATTGCACAAACAAATGTTTTGATGCAATTAACCTGCAGCGAGGAATGTAAGCTGCTGACGTACCATCCGACCTATTTCAGTAGTTATTTTTTTCTTCACCAAGCGACTACTAAGTCTTCATAGATCCACCGATAAGGACGAGAACTTCCGGTTGCCTGGTAGTACAGTTAATCAACGGATACACGTGTTGCATAGTAACTACAGCTTTAGGCGTAAAATTAAGTACGCAAACCCGACGTCGAGTTTGTCCGATTGCACTTAGAACGTTCTTTATCGATTCTGTCTGCGTGTCTGTGATAATCCAATAGGTACCGTGTTGTTGCAGCTGGCGTTGTTCTACGTCCTCAGGTCAAAGGACGTCCACTTGAATGTATAATCTCCAACAGTCATATTCGCGCAATTCAGTTGGCGGCGCTCGTAAAAGTTCTTTAACTCGGCAAAAAAGTGTGGTGTATTTGCTCTACCCATTTATATCGCAAGAAGAACATGACCCTGATGCTCTCAGGAACAGATTTACGTCTAGGTGCTAGCTCACAATAGGCCAGGGGCTCAGATTGCACCGTGTCTGCTGGAGACTTGAGTGCACGGGAATACTTCCCGTGAATACTCCGAGTTCCACTTAAGTGGTTCGGTTGGAATGGACTGGGTAACACCAGATACTTGTAAGCGCCTGGCGCGAACTATTTGTCGACAGCGTAGCAACAATTTTTGAGACAACCAAAATCGCTTGGTTTCGTGTTAATACCCTCGCAGGGGCCACCCGAGAACTGGGATCGACAACGGAACCAGAAGCTATGAGTAACATGGGATGAGTGGTATCCACTGCCATTTTTTGAACACCTCCACGAACTCGGATCACAGCATGGTCCGTAAGTCGCCTTTCGCTTTTTTAAGCAACCGAAACCAGTAGATCTCACCTAACAAGTGAAAGGAATATGGGTTCTACAATAAAACAAACCCACGGATAATCCTTGTACAAAACTTTAGTCTTGTTCTAAACCAACTTGCTTAACGGAGATGTCGGATGTATCGACTGTGGAACACCACAATCAAGCTCCGTTGAAGCACGGATCATACTATAGGACGTCGTCTCAGTTTAGATTTTCAGCTAAAAAATCGTGCACTTAAGTGCACTACTGCAACTTCGTTTCTCAAGGACAACGGGAATAAGGGAATGTGAGCCAATCGTTGAAGGCCATGGCCCGATCCATTCACCGATGTCTGCGTGGCAGAAAGTGGCAGCTACGCAATGAATGCGATAGCTCTGATGCGAGATCACAATTGGTTGCATGACATAATCATATCTGCCAGGGTTACCAACCCCTAATTTATTTTTTCCAATGCTCATCCAAGAAGATGGCAAGTACCAAAGTTACTGAGTTGACTGGTAAGGGCTTTCATGCACCACTGTCACGTCATAGGCTGGACGGCCTTTGATTGTCTCCATTCTATACAAGACCGGGAGAATAAATCCATGCGAAATGAACGATCTTATACTATGCGAAATATATGGCCTACCCAAGGTAACCTATGCAATGCGACAAACTGATCTATCGAGAGAGGGTGAACTTGGCCGAAAGTCGTTCAGGGTACCTGAGCAATATTGATCTGCTTTTTCAACCAGACCCGCGCAACGCCTCGTAGACACCGATGATGAAACACAGAGAATTCAAAGTTCTGCACTCCGGAACAACGTATCTGAGAGGATGTTGACTTGGCAAGAACTCCAGACTGTCAAGTACTAGAACAACGCCATAAGCGGGGGTCAAGGAAATTATGTGGAATTCGTTGAGATACTCCGTACATTTTGTTCCCGATTTTTGTCTCCGATGACCAGATAATTGGGTGCAGGCATTGACTAAGAAGGCTCTTAATAGTCCAGAAGATACCGGAGAAAGACACCATCATGCCGGGGAGGTTGAGCCACCTTTACGACTTGCCCGTTCTGCCTCCTTGGTTACGGCCTCCGAAAAGATGAATACATCATCATCAACAGCATGACATCAATGTTCAATAGCAATGCTTCATTGCCATACGATGGTTCGGCATAAACAACACACCTCCCAACCAACGCAGCTTCTGGTGCTGGACACAATCTTCAATGGGAGTACCCATTGCACAACCAAAAACGCGCTTTCTAACTGCCTTGTTACGGATTCGCCGACACCAACTCACACGAGCTTCGGTTCTGAGACAACGATTGTCAAACACCTGAAGACGTCTCAGTTCCGCTGCTCGAACAGGCCAAGTCTCACAACCATGCAACAAAACAGCCCGTACTGTAGCTTGACACACACGTCCCTTCAGATTCAGGGATAAGCCCCTCTGAGCCATAGGTGTCTCAAATTAGCAAACGCGGCCCGAGCCTTGCAGATTCGTGCATTCACCCCATCTGTCACACTACAATCAGAACTAATACAACTTCCAAGATACGTAAAACGCTGCACAACTTTCATTATCTCTCCCTGGATTGTAAGTGTCGTGCTCAATGACTGCACGTTCACGATCATGACCTTGCACTTTGCGGGCGCAAGGTGCATACCAAAGACGAAGTGACTTTGGTTGATTCATCCAAAAACAGAAAAGATGAATACGATGGACTGCTGAATGTTACTGATATGACTCAATTCCATGATCAGTGCTCTACGTGCTGATAATTTTTGTTTCAACCTTATTGTCTACACTAATCGGATAAAGTGTGCATTCACAGCAAAGCGCGTTTAATATATCACTTCAACCCAACGTCACATTACAGGTGGCTTCACGAATACAGTTATGCTTTGTTGATGTCAACATGATATAATATTTGCATGTAGCACCGCCACAAATGTAGTACTGCTACTGTCCACACGACTGCCTATGTCAGCCTTGTTTCGCATTACCAGCAGCACTGCGAATGGCATTGGTGTTGATTTTGTCCGCGTTGACACCCCACATACGAACTCTGGATCAAAGTTAAACGAGCCAGCCGAAAGTACAGATCATGTGAAAACGGATGACCACTACGCCGGTCGGGCTTCCAAACCAACCGTTGTGATACCGAAGCTGCCCCTTTAATCACACTTTCTGAGAAGCTACGTAGCGCATTTGGACAAATTATTCCCGGGGAAAGAGAGACAAACAGCAAACTTCATTCAGACGATCGGAAGAACACAAATAGAGAAGACAGAGACGACTAATTATTCGAGATTTCGGGATGGTTGGAAAAATCTCGAGCAGTTTGGGCGCCATCTGAAATCCGGGTTTTTACTAGGTTCTCTCAGATATGTTGATGACAATGTTTCACAAATATATGTTTGTTGCATCTGACGTCGCTGATAGCGCTGTTGAAAACGCGAAGTGCACCAAGTGACCGGTGAATGGGCGATATCGAACAATTTCACAACAATGATGTGATAGTGAGCCTGCAAACTACAGGTCGCCTAGCTAAGCGTTGACTATAGGGGAATTAATGGAGAATAGACCATACGGATATCGATGTTTGAAAAACGTCATGGACAAAGACCTAATACGATTTTGTGCTGGACATTTGTGCAATGAAAGCATCCTAAAACTTGGATAAATCGCGCAAAAGATGCAAAGACTCAGGTTGGCGCAATCTCTGTGGATTCCATAAGGCCACCTGAGAAATTTATCGTGCCATCCAAGAACCCTACGTTCTCACACCCTCACCTATGAAGCGGTCCACAAGTATGCCTCAAAGTCAAGGAAATAAGGACCAACGGAACTGCACAATCAAGAGTGCCACTTAGAACAGTTCTGAAACCAGTTTTGTTCCTTCTCTAAATCGGCAGGATGACAGGTCACATCGGTCCGACGGCCCGCTCTTTGTTGTGAACGTGGAGAACGTTCTGAACTCCTGAATCCTTCGGATCTTTAATCTCGATTGTGTAAGGCGCACAAACTGAATAAGTAATTTGTGAAAAATCGACCCAAGTAAAATCAGCATGTACTAGTATGTATCATGGCACTTCGATCGAAGACCACGGTCTGGATATTCGGACTGGCTATGTCCTCATACAGACAGAGGGCGACTTTTTCCGTCAAAAACACATTAGGACTGTACTGCAATGTAATTGCCAAATATGAGGAGTGTGAAGACCAGATAATTTGAGAAGTGATCGCGTTAAAAAACAACAGTGAGTACGATCCCCAAAGTCGGGAAACTAACACGCTCAAGACTATGCCAGAGTTACACATTAAACTATGAGGTATGAATGACGCTCAGTTTATCCTTCAAGCACCGCGCTTCCGAATATTCGAGTCATATAATGCGCGTGGGAGAAAATTCGTGTGAGTTGAGAAAGATAACTCCTTTACGTAAAATCGCGGGTTACTGAAACATACCGAGGATGAAGCAGTTAGATAACCTGTAACCGAAGCAGTGCGTCGAAAAGAACAACCCAATTGAGCACTTGAAATTAATATACGAGGCTCAAATAATAACACGACGTGCAGACTAGACAGACTTCCCAATATTCCAAACAAAGGCTTACAGCGGTGGAGATCAGGAACGCTTGGCAAAATTTCGCATCAACTTCTCAAAACCCTCAACAAAACAATTAACAAAACCCAATTACCAAATTACGCGTAAGACTCCTGTGCTTTATTCTCCAAAAAATACAAAACGTACGCTATCTTCGAAATAATACACAAAAACCGGGGGACAAATCGACTAAAACGTACCTTGAAGTGATAATCCAGGCGAACAAGGAATGGGAAAGAAATGGCTTGCAGAATGCGTTTCTCGTTCAGTGTATGTTCCACTTGTTTCAGTTTAACCACCTGATTTACGGTACATGTTTCAAGGGAAGCAACTAACCTTCTGTTTATCCAAGATTTTCATAGCGTAGTAATTCTTGCTAGCCTTGTGCTGTACTAGCATCACGCGGCCAAAAGACCCGGTACCAAGGGTTTTAATCCTATCAAAAGCGTCCAATGTTGAAGTATTCTAATAACGAATTTAACCGAAATGTTGTATTACTAACCTGAGTAGGTTTTTCCCATCGTTCCAGAAATTCCTTCTTAGCTTCTTCCAGGAAAGCCTTAACTGTTAACAAAAGGAAAATGCCAGTTAAATTTGATGCTCAATAGATGGCAAACGTTATACTCCACTTACCATCCGCAGGGTCTCCTTTTTTAGCTGTTTGAGCGTTCCCCATTTGCTCGTCAAACGAAAACGTCTAACCCAATCAAACGAAGCGCCTGGCTGCCACAATGTTGACTCTCGCGCTTTGGTGCATTAAAACACTTGACGCGCTATTCAGGTTAAATTACTTGTGAACTAGCGAATGGGGCAACCGCACGGCAAGATTTTGTTTATTTTTGACGAGTGTCTATCTGTGGTATTCTGAATAGTCTCTTGAAGTGTAGGTGGTTACATGCCTGCAATAAAAGCACAAAACCAATGGTGAATACCTGAAGCTGGTGAGCACCTTTCGAGTTTTCATTCAAGGTGTTTGCGACATAGCGGTTTGTTAGGCTCATGGAGCAAAGAGAGTCGCCAAAGCCTGCGGAAGGCATCCGTTAGGATTCTCTATGAAAATGTAGCATCTTTTCAACGGCTACTAATTTACCCCAGGTTTTGACGACCCTCCACGGATCGACTGCCACTGGTTTCCGGTGCGTTGCTATCGGTACTGAAATTTAACATTGCTTCAACTGGATTGCTACAATTCCAAAATGTGACCGTCATCCTTGTTTATTTCGTCGGGAATTGTCGACCTTTCTGGGGTATAATGTAGCGCTTCCCAGGACTATTCCACGGCGACCGATGTGAGTAATCCACTGGGCCACATATGGTTACAGGTTAAGGCTGAGATCCCACCATCGCATTGCCGCGGTCAAAATCTTCCACCATCATAAAAATCGTCATCAGCCCGTGAATCAATATAATCATCAACTTCAGTTCCGACTCTTCTCGATGCGCATCGTTTTCAGCTAATCATAGCATCACTCAAGTCTAATATAAGATATACGCCGGTGGATGGGCGAACTGAATTGCCGGCCTTGTTGGGGAAATCATCCTAGTCAAATCAAGCTGTCCGGAGACCTGTCATCTGCAATGACCGAACATCACTTGCGGGTTACGGACTAAACAAAGACGCCCTGTTCTGTCAGAATGTTAGCGAACATGGACCCAGCACATTTAGCTCAACGCTTCTCGTCGCCTCACGGAGATTATGGTAACATCCTGTGGAAATTTCTGTGAATACATTATAGATACCGATGTGATAATGTTCCTTGTCTCCATAAAGAGCTGTCTTGAACTATCGCGTTTTTCGATATACCGTGGCCAGCGAAGCAGGGAGCCAAGGATCGACAGAGTTGTCCAACCGTTCAGGAAGCCAAAGCCCAACTATAAATGCCCTTGAACACTTATTTAAGGAGAGGAGTTGATGATTCATTCCTCCATACTCCACTAAAGCATGAATCATACTGCGACTTCAGCGCATTTCAAGATTGATCTACGAAAAAAAGTGCCCTGTGGCGAAACACCGTTATATACACACAACTCGTCGCAACATGACCTACCTAGACGGCTGGAGCCGACTAATTACCTGGAGTACAAAAATATTGATATCATTTCTTTAAAGCAAAAAGGTTTGTCAGCCATCAACATCCCCCTTGGGGATTCCAGTGTCGGTGGGCGATTACTTTGCCCAATGGCCTCCGGGTAAACCCTTAGTATCTATCTAAGCTTGGAGCACTAGCTCGTCCCTGAATGTGATTAAGAGGAATGAGCTACTTAAGAGCTCTGCCACATAAACATAACCCTTCTAGAGTCAATACTTGCGAGGTTGTAGGTTGTGGTTTCGCTCCCTACACATATCCTGTCGGCGCATAAGAAATTTCACTCAATCAGTGAATTACCAAAATAGTTTTGTGCAGAGGCCATTCTATCACGCTGATTGGGGCTCAAAATTCCAACCTCGTCACACTCAGATTTTACCACCCTCCTTCATTACCACAATCAACCTACAGTTCCTCCAGTGGCCCAAACATTCTTCAGGCTAATAAAATGACTTACGCCAACTGTTTCTGAAAAGCTGCTGCACGATTTAGAGGGATCATTGGACCAAAATATTGCATTTGAAAGCAGTCTTGCGAAAATCCATAAACCGTCTAAATTGACGCTCTTTTGTTAGGTCTCGTCCGACCGTGGTAGGAGCTCATGCAATGCAAGGAATCATACCCCTCATTGTTATTCACTATATTAGGCTGCTGTAAACCTGACTTCACCCCCTAAAATGCACACGGGATGGCCTGGTAGCCCTCTTAAAATTTGTTTTCCAAAAAATACGTCTCTGTCGCTGAGTACTTTAGTTTTTCCCGCTACCAAAAACCATAACTTTTTGAGAATTTTGATGTGATGGACAGGCGTCGGATTATTCTACATTGAACAAGTAAGATATTACAATTAACCGCGTAATTGATTGACGCAAACCACATTTCTAGAGTAAGCTTCCAGGGCGATGGAAAACTGATGGCGCATGATGTTGTCATGAAAAGGGGCTTGCGCTCCGCTCCTTTATCATAGAATGATTGCGTCTGGTCCAATCAATTTTCTTATCCCATTCGTGGCCTTCTGTACGAAATTGACAACATCCGACATAATGCCCTACTAAGAAACCTCTCCGAGATAGGTTTTATAAACAATTTACAGTGTATTAAGGAAACTGGCATTGAATTTCAAATAAGCGCGTTCGGATTTGACCAAACTTTGGACCAATTTTTCTTACTGCAGGGCAAACAGCAGCAGCTAAATAATGATGTTTGTGCCATTAAAATTCTGCTCATTTCAAGATACAGCTCTTGGCATATTACTAGTTAAACAAATCTCGTTTAGTTTAAATCCTGGTGTCATGAGAGCAGAACTATCCTGATTAGACACTAATTAATTCCGATTGGTATCCAGTGGCAGACTTCGCCACTCTAGCTGTTGCTCAGAAGAAGGGCACACACTGTGTACAATGACCGAACTGCGTCCAGCTAACGCCTATCACATAACGATTGATGGTTACGGCTTCATCACTTATTCCATCCAACTTTACAACCTGCCTGTATCACCCTTGTGACCCCCTGGCTGGGTCCCTCAAAACTACCCAAAATTCTCCGTCATTCATACTCACTGCTTGCTCAAACTCCTCCTCATTCTATTTCAGCAACCTAATGTATACCCTCTGACAATTCACGCCAACTTAAACGTCTTGTTTACCTTATTCCCTTTGTCTAAGCTGAGCAATATTTAATAAGCCAGCTTGCATCCCATACACCGGAAAAGTTCTTCATAAACACAACATGTTCTCCATGTAAATAAATTTCACTCTTGGTTGTTGATTAAGTGACTTTGTTCTGTTTGTCGAGCTCGACCAATAATTGCAAACTTTTAGTTACCACACCAGACGACATCATCAGCGCGCTGTTGATTGGTCGCACCAATACGCGCACCGCAGAGATCCTGTTCGACATCCATATGCTATCTACCACTTCTCAAAAGTTTAGTATTCCAGGAATATTGGAGGCATTGGAGGCAACAGTGAACGAATATTTTGCAAGCTCGTGATAAAAAAATTATTCCCAAGCTTATAATCTAATCACTAAGATGTATACCACCCTATTCCATAGCCAACAGATTCTGGTTAGTTGGGAAATACTCTGTCGACCGGTGCGTACGTTTGGCGCTCAACACCCAAACTAACGACGCCTACAGAGACACCCGTCTACATCGAACTTAGTGTCTTATGGCTCAGCGATGAGACAGACGTATCCGCGCAGTATATGCGTCTGTCTCCGTTAATCGTTTTATCGCTGCTTTATGTTCATGCAAACCGCCACATTCCCCGCATCGGTATTAATCTAATGGATAATCAGTGGAAATGAGAAATGTGGCTCTCCGTCATTCAATTTCTACCCTGGATTGCCATGATGTTTGGTTTATATTCCTTTTAGCTGGTCGCGCTACTTGATTATCGGAATTAGGCCACTTATTTCAGCAGAGCTCAATGGACATTACAATGGTAAAAGTGCCCGGCTTCTGGCTGACCATGGACGTTTGATATAGAATAAAAGGTACCAGCCGACTGGATACCGTTTCGACAGTACAAGTACCGGTACGCTATTCGGTAAATGATTAAGTTATCTACTTCCACCGCTGGTTAAATCGGCATTACTGATATTCTTAGCCCAATCTTCCTCTAACGAGACTACTGGATTCTGATGAAGATGGCCAAAACCTGAAAGGTTTCAAACGTTTTCCGGGGACAAGCTGTTATTCAATATACGAATGATTCAGGATCTCGACGTCGAGGTGTGTTCGACGTCGAGTGGGGTCATCTGAGGAGAGGCAGTGCGGATACGATGACCGGTAGTGAGGGTGTTCATGCGTTTCAAGACTGGGGATGATCAATGTGCGGAGTCCATCAAGGTACTAATCCATCTGGAACTGGGCCGTACTGTGGGTCATAGCACAAAATTTGTAGTTGCTAGGGGCGATTTAAAAGATGTACGACGAACGAAGCGGAGTATCATGTAGGTTGTTTCGCCCACGTGCATACTCTGTAGCAACGTTTACACGGGTTCAATATTTGTGTGTCATTTCCAAGTTTTGTTTCCCTTCCTACTACTTCGGGCAGTCCTTCCAACGATTCCTGCAGTATGAATTTTGTCGCCTCGTGGAGAAGGTAAAATCTTGATGATCCGTTCCTTTTGCAAACTTGCTGTCGACTAACGGAATTCACTTTCTTTCTTGACCGTAGTCAGTCAAAACCGTATTTATTTGCATGTTCAATCTGGGTTCTGAAACTGATCGATGAATCAAAATGGATGTGGATGCAATTGTTCGGTTTTTGCACCGGGCTCTGTAAAATACCACACAAATATGCTAACCACAATCGACTTTCGAACGTACTGTTGCAGCTATACTGGACGAGTTGTATTTTGCATCTTGATGATTCCCCGCAGTTTCCAGTTATCGGTTCAGCTTTTCGCCTTAGAGTAATCAGCACAGGTGCACTTTAAATTTCGCATGTATTTCGGTTAAACTGCTGCAGCCTGTGTCACGTACCATGGTTACGATCTCGACCGGTATCCAGTCCAGATGTTTTTGTACCAGTGTCAATCGGAAATGGCTCTATGAGGATCTGACACCGTTTTCACATTACGCAGACTAAATGCCCATGCGATTCGATGT